AGTTTCCAACCCATAATGATTGTCTGCCATCCCATAATTTCTGTGTTCCATAATGATTGTCTGCCATCCCATAATTTCTGTATTCCATAATGTCTGCCCCCACCCCATAACATTCGTTTCCATCCCATAATATTTTTGTATTCCATAATGTTTCTGTTTGTCCCACTATGGCTGCTGCTGTCCCATAGTATCCGCCTCCATTCCTCTCCGTCCCACAATGCCCCTCTCCATCCCACAATGCCTCTCTCCACCGCACAGTTCCTCAGCCCATCCCACAATGCCTCTTTCCCCATCCCATAATTTCAGTTTTCACCTTTCAATGGATGCCCCCATTCTTCAATGGTGGGGGCCATCCCATAATGCTTCTCTCCATCCCATAATGCTATTTCCCTGTCCCATAATTTCAGTTAGCGCCTTTTAATGGCCGCCCCCATTCTATGATAGTCAGTGTCCATCCCATAATACTCACTGTCCATCCCATAATTTCGGTCCCCACCCCACCGTGGCCACCCCCAAACACACAGTGGCTGCTGCCATTCCAACATGGCCGCCCCCAAGCCCACAATGGCCGCTGCCATTCCAACATGGCCGCCCCCAAGCCCACAATGGCTGCTGTCTTTCCAAAATGGCCGCCCCCATCCCCACAATGGTTGTCCCCATTCCCACAATGACCGCCGCCATTCCAACATGGCGGCCCCCATCTCCACAACGGCCGGGCCCACCTCGCAGTGGCTGCCATCATTCCATAATAGCGCTGTCCATCCCATAATATCCATTTTCTTTGCCATAATTTTAGTTTCCATGCTGTAGTTTTATTCCTCATTCCACAATGGCCGCCCCCATCCCCACAATGACCGCCGCCATTCCAACATGGCCGCCCCCATCCCCGCAGTGGCTGCCCCCATCCATCAGTGCTGCTTTCCATCCCATAATAGTCGCGTTCTGTCCTGTAACGGCGGGTGCCCATCCCATAATAATCCCGCTCCATCCCATAATGCCGCAGTCCCTGGTGATCCCGGAGAAATTCCAGCACATCCTGCGGGTGCTGAACACCAACATCGATGGCCGCAGGAAAATCGCCTTCGCCATCACCGCCATTAAGGTGGGGGGGGCACTTCCGGGTTGGGGCACTTCCGGGTTGGGGTACTTCCGGTTGGGTACTTCCGGTTGGGGGCCACTTCTGGGTGGGAGAGGGGGAACCTTTGGGTGGGGGGAACCTT